GTCATGAACAGAACCCGAACGCCAAGTACTTCTATGAAGTATAATAACATTATTAGCGTCCTCGGCGCTTGTTTCTGTTCGTGATAGTTGCTGCTGTGTGTGTCGACAGAGTGACTTAGAACAACTTGATCGGACAGTTGGCATTGCGCGACTGTCTGCGTTGAAGATCGTTGAGTATCTATTATAATAGCCACATATTATCAGAACAGCAAGGAACTGTGGGAATGTTCTTCGTGGATGGTGCATTACCCCGAGTGTGTTCCTTGTGGATAGAGCATCAGTCAGCGGATTTATGATACGTTGTGAAGTACGTTAGCCCCTGTCTGTTGAGTCTTTGTGTTCCGATATCATTGTGTTCTGCTTTTGTGCGTTGGTCGAGTGACACGGGTGGTGGCTGCGGCGCTGCGGTGCTGTGGTGCTCCCCACCCTTGCTCACTTCACCTTTTCACCTGTTCTCCTGGTCCAAGGTCTCAACAATAAAACATCTTTCCCCAGAAGCCACGAATTTACCAACAGCAGTTTCTTCCCTGGGTGCGAGATCCTCTGCGTTGTTGGTTTTTGTTGGCATTTGGTTTGAAGTACCGCTGTAGTCTTCTCGTGCGTCTGCGTCATGGCAATGTGTGTTGGCAATTCGGTTGTTTCCGGCTGCGCGACTTCCGCGTGTCAGTCTCTCGTCCTAGGAGGCCCTTTTCCTTGGGCACGATCAACAGCGATCTGTCCATTCGCTTCCTCGACGACATCCGCAAAGACAATCAAGCATCCATAAGAGACAAGAACCTCGAACCTAGCGCAGAAACGTGCTTGGTAGATGTACTGGTCCACTACTGCAATCTCCTCGACCCCCCACTTCCATCTATGTTCTACTGGTTCCTCCTTGTTCTCATTGCATACCATGACGGCACTTGTTGGATAAACCGGGTAGGCCGAAGCTTGTAGGTTTGTGGAGAAAGGCAGCTCGGCCAGTGAGGGCCGAGATGGGAAAGTCTTGTATTAGAGGGGGTTGAAACCGAGTCCGCACTAGCGCAAGAGTAGTAGCGCAAGAGGAGCGAAAGCAGAGCGAAAGCAGAGCGCGTCACCGCACCTATCCATCACGCAATTCAGACCACTCATCAAATCTCGGAAGAAATCAAGCACAAATTCCTTTTTTCCCACAATCTACCAGTGACAATCTCCGTAGATCCATGCCCCGTATTCAACCATCATACTATGCTACGAGTATATCTAACAGCCCCCCTGCTCGTATGCATCCTAATGATACGGCAAGGCAACATAAATCCACTTACGAACCAAAACGTCGTACAACAACATATTCGCCTGATTGAGAGCGTAGCATCTGATTGAGAGCGAGATTGCGCGATACGCTGTAGCCGGACTACCACTGAGAGGTGGAGCTTGCTGTGTAGCTTGAATTGAAGGGCTAGCCCGTAGCTTCAAGCCGCTACCCT